ACCGCACGCAGATTGGCCGACTCGGCGGCGACGACGGCCAGACGGCTCAGTCGAGTCCGCGCGGATCTGCTGTGCGCACGGTTCGAGGACGGCTGCTCTCTCCCTTCTGCTCCTCTTCCTCTATCCGCCTATCTATCCGTCTATCTCTCTCTCTCTCATTCACCGTCTGTCTCTTTCTTTCACTCCTGCTCGTCCTGCCGTCTCCTCGCGGCCGAGGGATTTATCCTTTCCTTGCCTCTCGATTCCCCAATCCCACTTACTCCGTCTCTCGCGCTCGTTCGAAAGCAGTCTCTCAGCGGCGAGGCAGCGAGAGAGATCCCTCGGACGAGATATGAATTCACGTTCCTCCTTTTATATTCCACGCTCGCCTGCCCTCCATTTTGCTTGCTCGAGCCCCTTGTCTACCTCGCCGATCTGCGACTACCGTATGTGTCGGCTATCTCCCTTCCCCTTCGCTCCGTCTCTCTTTCTGCTTTCCTCCCTCGTCGTTCTTCCGCCTGTATACGCGCATGATCATGCTGTTCCGACGTCGTCGTCTGCTCTCCTCTCTTTTTCTTCCTCACCGCCGTCTTGGCTTCGTCGTCGGCGAAGATGACGACGGCGAAGGTTTGCGCACGACGCGGTTAGCCGCTCTCTCGCGAGGAGCAATCTCGGAAGAGCGAACGCGTCGCGGGAGAACGCGAAGAAGCCGATCCTCAAATATTCAACGACGCGCGCGGCGCATATGTACACGCGTGGTGCAACGTCACGGGACGGGATGGGACGGTGCGCGACGACGACTGGTAGCTATCGTTGCGGTTTGTTAGGCACGGTCCGCTGTCGTTCTAGGGGTTACGCGATGTATGCATGCGCATACGTACGTCGCTGCACCGTCGAGTGTGCGTGCGTGTATTTGTCGTATTTTGCATAGTGTATTTAGGACACGTCCGTTATAAAGATGTCCGCCTCGAATCGTCAAGTATCATCCTCCGGGAAAAGTGCAAAATTGCGAGGCACGGTACTTTATCGCCTCGTAATACCTCGATATCGACAATCCATGAGCTCGGAAGGAACAATCGTTTCCGACGAGCCGAGGAGGAGGGGAAGCTCCGACGATGAGTCTGCCGGACTCCGAGGAAATCGGAATCGCTCGACAATCATGCGCGAATGCGACGCGCTTCTCAATCATCTGCCGCGACTCGCAGCGCGTAACTGCGAATCACCAGCCGTCGCTCCTTCGGGCTGCACGAGTGTGCCGGGCGCGCCTTCCGTTCGGCGCTCGTCTCGTAACAATTAGACGATCACACGCTCTCGTTCGTTACGATCGGAACCCATCCGTTTGCTACGTACCCGGAGAGAGGGCCAGGAGGATAAAACGCTTCTACCCATTATTACCGCCGCTATCCGTGTGCATCCGCATGACCGACGAATCGACCGGTTAACGACGGCCCGGGGAGAGAGCCAATCTCCGCTTGGAGAGGAAAAAGGAACGCCGATGGTAGATAGCCGAAAAATCCGAAGGATTTCAATTATGCCGGCTCGGCCAGCCGGCTGCTGGGTCGGTTGTTCGGTTGGTCGGCTCGGTCAGCTCTCGCTCGCCGGAAAACGCGAAGGCGACGGTTCTCTCGAAAAATACCGTCGTTAAAGCGTAAAGCTTCATCGTTCTCGCCCGTAATATTCCGTCGGTTTACAAACGACTGTTATTTTTGTCCGTCGAACCGCAAGCAGCGGGACGCTCGAACTTAACGCTCGTCTCTCGGCATGGAACCCCGCGTCTCTCTCTCTCTCTCTCTCTTTCTATCGGGGTGTCGAGGTTTCACCGATCGCGCCATTCAGACCTGAATCCTTGGGCTAATGGCCGATCTCTCTGCGAAACATCGAGTCAACCGTTCGTCTGGTCGAAAAAGAAGTTTTACACTCCTTCTCGTATATATCAAGTTTCGTCTTTTCGGTCGGACGAATTTGTTCAGCCTTCAGTTCAGAACGGATTTCACTTTGTCCAGTATTTACCGTTTCCGGATTAGCTATTCGAGACATTCAAAATGGACGCTTCTGCGCATATGCCGCGGGAGAAGAACCGGGCCCCAAGTCACCCGCAGAATTTGCTATAGAGACGAAAGGCTAGCTCGTCGTGGGCCCGGCGGCACTTTTGTACGTCGGACAATACACCTTGCGTCGGCGGAACGAGTGGACGAGCAAACGAACGCGCGAGAGCGAATGACGCGTGCTGAGCGAAAGCGTGGCCGGTGTAACGACTCGCATCGGCTTGCGACGAACGGCGAGAGGGCGACGTTATCGCCGGTTGCACACACCATGTGGCTGCGGACGGTGCGGTACGGTGGTTAGGGGCGGTTAGGGCAGTGCGCCGCAAGGGTGGTCAAGCCGCAAACGAGACCGCCGTCCTAGCTATCTGCTATCTGGATAACCGCCATCGCCGCCGTCGCCCTTCCTCCCTCCCGGCCGTCGCTCCCACCTCCGTAGCAGCGGCGTACGACGACAGGTAGCCCGCAATGTCGCCGCCTCTGCGCTCGCTTATCGCGCTAATTTTGAACTCGAGACGATAATTGCGTGAGCGCGATCGCGAGACGGCTTAACGAGCCGGCGGCCGTGTTTCGTTGCATTTCGATGCACCGTGCGACCGATCGCCCAATATTGCGCGCTCCCTCTCTCTTTCTCCCTGTGTTTCTCTCATGAGCCACCGCCGACGGAAGAGTGGGAGAGGGATGGGTGCTCGCTCGCTCGAGATGGATTCGCGCGAGAACGGTTATCGCGCGACGTATCTTTGTTCGCGGCTTGATCTCGACGAGATACTTCCGCGTGCACGCACGCGGCGGACACTGCGCCGTGTCATGCGAAAGAGAGGGGGAGATGAAGGGCGGCTTGTAGGAGAGAGCGAACGGAAGGGCACGGGATAACGGCCGGTGCGTGTGTGTGTGAGAGAGAGAGAGAGAGAGAGAGGGATAAAGCACGTTGGCGCGTTTATTAGTGTCCAATTGTGACGAAGAGAGGCGGGGGGTCGGGCCAGCGCGAAAGCGAGCGCGTGAACTCGCTCATTTGCGTGGCTGTTAATTTGCCGCGTTGTGTGCGCGCCGCGCCGCAGAGAGTTGCCGGCGCGACGGACAGAGGGAAAATTAGCTCTTTGTATATGAGTGCCACCAACTGTTGGATCGCGTAGGTGGACCCGACAACGACGTTGACGTGGACGACGGCGACGACGATGCGGATAATCATCGCGGTACCTTCTCTACGCGGATCGACCCTATTTCGCGCGGCCGTCCGTAGAAAAAGAAAGGAAAAAAGACTCCCGCGCCAGAATAAATACGAAGACAAAACAGAGTTAAAATCGAATCGATCGGCCGCTTTTATCGCGGTGCGCTGTGGAAATAAAAAAATAAAAAAAAAACTTGGAAAATTTTCAGAGGCAAATGGTATTCGCGGAAATAAAGAATGTTTAATCAACGCGAGCTATGATAGACAAAAGCGCGATTTCACCGCTCCATTTTTGCAGTAGAATACTGTATAAACCGGCCCTGCCGACCTCATCCCTCGAGTTTCTTGACTCCTTTTTTCAGATCACGCTGTATGTTATCGCTCGGCTATTTTATTATTGGCCGTCACGCGCGCAACGCGACGCGATAAGTTCGCGTACGCGAATAATCCGCCGTGAATAAACCGTGCGGTGGATGAGAGAGAAAGACAGAGAGAGAGGGGGGGTAATACGCTTCGCGCACGTATGTACGCGTACCTGCTCGTCGGCGAATTAACCGTAATAACCGACGCATTTAGCCACGATATACAAATCTCGCGGCTCCAATAGTCGCCACCACCGCTGTCGTCGTCGCCTCCACCTCTCTCTCTCTCTCCCTCTCTCTATCTCGTGCACCACCCTCTTTCCATGTCATCCCCTGCGCCGCGAACGCGCGCGCACGCACCGCATATCATTACCATGCAAATACGCCCGGCAAAGCCCGCGTAAAATCACTCTCCCTCTCTCTCATCCCTCCCCCCGTCATCGTCGCCTCTCCCTTCCCGACTTTACTCCGTTGCTCCCCTACGCTACCCCTCCTCCTCTTCCTCGGGGCTCTTTCATCCGACCGACCGACCGACCAACCGACCATCCGACCCCTCGTCACCTCTCGCCAGCCAACCGGTCACATATGCAAAACGTGCCACTATTATAATAACATTACGCCGATGAACCTTCCATTGAACGCACGCATGCATGGCCTCGCTAATTATACACCGGGTGGCGCGACTCGCACGGATGCCGGAATCGACAGTGCCGCGATTCGACGCGAAGGCGTAAATACAATCGTTTCGCCCCGGCTATCGGCGCGCGTGTATTCTTTTTCCTTTTTTTTTTTTCGCTCTTCCATACTCGTATATAACCGATCGCACGTGCGCGCGTGCGGATATGCGTGCGTGCGTATATATATATATATACATATAAATATGTACGTGTGTACGCTCGCGCGGAGGTCGAGTTCGCTCCGATTTGTTTTCATGACAATCGCGAAACCGTCAGCATGCCGCGCGGCGGTGACCGCTCTTTTTTTTCCCCTTTTTTTTTATCGGCGAAATAGTGTCGTAATTTTCATGACGATCCGCCGCTGCCCGCTGCGCCGGCATGCAACTAAATATTGTTGATGCCTCTTTTTTGGCGCTAACAACATTCACGTGGATAGAGTAACGAGTGGTCCTTGTTTTTTATTTCCGCCGACACCTGCCCGCTGTGTGCGCAGTCCCGATTTTTTATCGGCGTGCCGGCCACTAGTCATTTCGTTTTTTAAACGGGAAACGAGAGGTCATCCCGGTCTGCGTTCTGCATTACTAAATTTTCACGTTTTTATGCGCGTGTCTAGATGTCGAGCTCGCGCGCTCAGACAAGGACCGAGGGAACCGGCGGGCCCGGTGGCGTCGAAAATAAACATCTAGGATAATCCTGCGGGGGATACGAGAGGATTTATTCGGGGGGGATCGAGCAAAAGAGGGGAAGATTGAATAAAAGAATACCGAGGCTATTTCTCGATTATTACATCACTCATTTATTTATCAACTCTCTTGTCTCGTCTCTCGTCAATCTCTCCAACTCGGAGATATACAATAATAATTCTCCTCATGCTCCCTCCTCATTCGCCATTCTCTGCCTCTCGGGGGGAAGTATAAAAATATAATGATATCACTTAAAACCTTGTTATTTACACAATTTACAGACGGACTAACTACACGGGGTCAGGAGAAGATGAACGCAGCGGAGCGGGACGGAGGCTTCGCCCGAACGCTGCTGGGAATCAACAACAGTCTGCAATGCGATGCGTATCGTAAGTACGAGAACAAAAATGGATCGATCTCCCCGGCGTGAACGTGAGCTCACCTTAGGAGGCCTTATATACTGCTCGCCAATGCGCGACTAGCAGTATTACGCGAGTGAATTCGCGAATAATGAACGAACGACTCCGTTATACGCATGTTACTAAATATACGTATTTTCGGACAAATAGTCGTCAAATATGTGTGAAGGCGGCAAGCATCCGACGTATATTTTGCACACGCTTCCTATATGCACGTTAATATGAGAGTGTATATAGGACGTCTCAATCCATTCATTAGCGCGAATGCATTTGGTTCGATGGATCAGCCGACTATAGCGGAACCAGAGAAAACACTGAACGCCTCGTGTACGACTCGGCCTCAAGACGGCGATACAGTGCCAATCTCCTCTTTGCTATGGGGCGAATAACAGGAACAATAACCTTGTAACAATAACAACAACGGTGATAATGTCGCCGTTCGAAAGACCCGAGTTTCCGAGGAGAGAGAACTCTCTGTCGCCACCTGCTCATCCCCAAACTGCCGCCGGGCTGATGGTGATAAAGATGATGATGATGATAATAGCGAGAGCGTTTAGTAGATGACCTCGTAGACGGTGGCTTTCTTGTCACCGGAGCCTGTGACTATGTATTTGTCGTCCGTCGATATGTCGCAGCTCAGTACTGACGAAGATTCTTTCGACTGTAAATATAATAGACAAACACGTCGAGTGAGCGCGCGATAACGGCTGTACGGAGTGTACTCGCTCGTGCAAGGAGAGAGATGGAAAGAATCGCACGTGAAAGATAGGACGTCGTAAAAATTCGAAAGCAATAGATAGATAGATAGATAGAGAGAGAGAGAGAGAGAGCTCGCCGGGTTCGCTTTATGAAACGTCAAAAACGTAAACATATTTACGAGCCGTTTCGCAGATATCTATTATTATTCCACCGCCTCGAATTCCGCTCGATAACGAAATCGCGTGCGCGAGTGCTCGCTCGCGTTCAGCGAGTGATTATTCATGAGCTTTATAAATCAGTTGCTCTTTTTTTTCCTCTCTCCCTCCCTCTCTCTTTTCTTTCTCGCTCGCCTTATCGGCGAGTCGGGGCGATTCTCTCCCCGCGATTCGTCCGTATCGCGTAATTATAGAGCTCCTTAATGAACTGTTTCGCGATCGTCCCCGACGTCTCTCGTCCGGTCTCTCGTCGCGGCGCGTAATAACGCGCTTATTCTCCGCGCGAGAGGTGCGAAGGTGTAATTTGCGTAATTTGTAGGCCAGGCTCGCGGTAGTAATAAACGCGGTCGCGATCGGAATTTCAATCTTAAGGAAGCACGTTTAGGTCTGCGAGATCGGCCTAATCGATTTTCAAAATACACACTCTCGTGTCAACAGATGTGTTTGTATGTGTGTGAAGGGGAAACTTTTGTTTTCCGCAGTTCTTCGACTGGTGCAGCTTAAACGTACACTCGGAAGGACTCTGATCGGAGTCGGTTGCACAATCGAGCGTCGCGCGCGCGCGCGATTGCGTTTCCCGGTCGCGTTGAGGAGGTTCTGGCGTTTGACCAAATAATAAGATAATAAGAATAAAAATAATAACATGTAAGATAAACCTGTAATATATACAAATAACACATGAGACCTCCTTAACTGACGGCGAGAAGAACGAATAATTAAGAATGAAAGAGGAAAAGGCGGACAAAGAAACGATGGCAAGAGGTTTGATCGAGAATCACACTGACCTGGAATATCGAAACTCCGTAAGGGGTACGCCACGCGTTCAATAGATTGTCCTTGCCGGTGGTGACAAACCATTTGCCGCATGAGGCGAAACGTAGCGAGAGAACGCAGGATTCATGCAGGCGTAGCTCATACTTGTCGGGCTTGGTGGCGTGGAGCACTTCGACGCGCGAGTTCTCCATACCCACAGCCAGCCATTCGCCGGTTGGACAATACCCGAGGGAGAATATCTGCGAGGTAAAGTCGTGCTGCTGCAGTTGCCTACCCTCCCTCAGGTCCCACGAACGCACCGTGTTATCGAGGCCACCAGTCCACAGTTTGGTACCGTCGGCGGAGATATCGATGCAGGAGGCACCGTCCGTATGACCTTGGAATTGTCTAACTAGCGTCTGATTGTGCAAGTCCCACACAGCGATGTTACCGTCGCTGCAACAACTAAAGCAGACCTTCGAATCCGGAGATATGGCCAGTGCGTAGCAGGCTGGCGCCACTGACGTTAGTTCCGCCTTGATCCTTGGCGTTGGGCTAACCAGATCCCAAATGCACAATTGGCTAGCTTCGCCGCCGACTATCAGCGTTCTTCCGTCCGGCAGCAACTTCACCGACCTGCGTCAACAAGGCGCGAAAAAGTATGTTTTTTTTTAGAATCTTCCAGGGAATAAATAACCCGACTAGAAATTGTTATCAGATATATCTTGATATTGCAGGGTCATAACTGGCTGAGCGTAAAGTAATTCTTATTATGGTGAACCTAATAAACTGATAAAAATGGAATAAGAAATCTTTGCAAGATATTGTAACAGAGATTAAGTACATATTATAAATACATATAGGATCTTATAGTGTATTATCCTACTATATTATTTTATAAAGTTTTACCGATCAGGTCCTTTTTGGGATCGTAATCACTCTACCTATTGTAGTAGTATGTGTGTTGTTTTTGTCATCGTTAAAATCGAACATCGTGTCCAATTCTAATTAACAATATTCGTGTTTCGATTTATATTTTATAGGCATTTTTTTACTAGTTTAGCACTCCCTGCTCTTTGTAAATCCTAATTCAATCGTAATCCTGTCCATTACTTGAGATAAAACGTGATCGAGACTCAATTGTATAATCTGACGAGGATATTATAATGAATTCTGATTAAGGTCCTAATTACTATATAGTCAATCCAGTCAAGATCAATCCAACTCAAGCTGGACTATAGGATAAATTTCTAGTCGGGGTCTTTGTCTTTTCTCGTAATGTCGTTTTCGTTATTACTAACCGAATGTAATTATCTCGTTGTAAACAATCCAGTTGTGAGACCGGTTTCACGCCTGCGATACCGACTTGTGCGATGTCCCAAACTTTGACGCAACCTTTACCTCCGGTGTAAACGTACTTGGTAGGGTTGGAAATCGTCACCGCGCACACAACCTCACCGTGATTGAGAGCGCTGACCTGACGGGCATGTTGCGGTATACCCGGTCCGATTAGCGCATCCTGCGGGAACGGCACCGGCTGCATCTGACCGTCGCATATGTGGAAGCTGTACGCACTGCGAAATCATTCCATCGCGGAACGAGCAGGTTAAGTCTCCTCCTCGGCTAACCCCGTCGCCAGCGGCGTTAATCGGGCTCCCGCGATTTCGCGGCGAATTCACACTCGGCTCTCTTCGACCGCGTAATTCCGCTCCCGTTCGGAGATCGAGCCCGATTTCGGAAGGAAATCTCGCGTGTGTCCGCGGTCTCACGAAAAGCGTTACGCGTGGTCTCATTCATCGCCGCGCATGGTAAAATTATTATCGTTACCATTATCGTGGCAAGTTTTAATTAACGACATGACTTCTCGCTAACGAGGAAAGTTCGGGAACTCTCGGAAATTTTGGAAAATCCGAAACGTTGCCGGGAATAATTGAATAACGGTAGCTATTTTTGTTCCCTCTACGAAACGGTTCTAACCGGTTTCAAAAAGTAACATGGTGCTGCCAACTGTGGAAACAGCTATCTTATTCCTCCTGCAGAGGTTCGGATTTTGTTCGGCAGGCGTTGCCTTCTCGTAAGCAAGAAGTCGCAAGCAAGGTCCGGTCGTCCGCGATAAGACGCGTTTCGGTGATGCGTATACTCACGGCTTGCCGTGTATCGGAACCCGCATCGTCGGGTGGGGATCGTAGAGCTGCTGAAGCGAAGCGGCCGCTCGCGGCGTCACGTATCCATTATATGCCATCACGTCCACGTGGGGATGCTGGCCGGTCACCGGGGCGAGATGGTGCGGCGGTGGTGGTCCGCCCGACGAATAGTGCGGCGAATATGTGGCTACGGCGGACAGCGCGGTCGGTACACCTTGCACAGCCGCGCCTTGCATCAGCTTGCTGTTCGGGGTGGACTTGCCGGCGATCACCGCCGAGCCGGAAGTAGGAGTCAGCGGTTTCGAGATCGGCGTCGACGTTTTCTCCCGCTCCTCCATCTTCTTGGCCGACGGTGTGCTCGCGTTGCTACTGGCGCTACTTCTCGGCGACGGCGGCGCCGCGTCCTTCTTCACGGTCTGCACGCCAGCGGCCATCGACACAGCCTTGTCGAGACCGTTTTCGCGCGGTGACGACGCGCCGTTCACGACAGGGCTGTTCGGCTCGCTCGCGTCGTCCACCACCAGATCCTGATCGCTCTTTTCGCCGTCGCTCTGTGCGCGAAACAATTAACATTAGTCAGCCGTTATCGCGATTATCGAGAGCGACGGCCTCGGCGGCCGATCTCGCGGGTTTTTTCACACTTACGTGGCCACCCGTGTCCTTATCGTGATCTTTCTTCATTTTCTTTGTCGGGTGCATCGAGTGGTCGTGGTGACTCTGAGAGTTATGAGAGTGATGAGTGGGCTCTTGTGGGCTACGGGGTCGACTATACTTCTCGGTCGGCGATATCGAGCTTCTCTGTAAAACGCACGGATGCCTTTCTTCTTCTTCTTCTCCTCCTCTCTTGTTGTTAGGCGCGGCGAGAGACGCGATATTTACGACTGTTACACCGCGCGAGAACACCGAGTATATCGGGACCGCGAAGTGGATTCCCGATATCCCATTACGACGACGTATTCCGATATCGCGCGACGTGCGGAGAGAGAGGAACTTCTTCCTCTCGAAAACGGCAGACTCGCGTTCACGGGTAAACGGTGTATATATACGATACATAGGCGGTATAAGCCGTGGTGCACGCGCGATACAGTATCAAGACGACGCTTCGTTCGAACGAAACACGGGAACACCGCCTCCCCCTCCTCGCTCTTGTTCTCGCTATCTATCTTTCTCTCGCGCGGCGCCCGTTAATCCCCCGTTGATCTCGTTAATCTCGTTTAACAACAGACACCGCGGCAAGTACAACGGCATGGAACAACGGATTAGCCACATATTCCCTGTGGCGCGACGAACGTGACAAAACCGTAATTACCCCGCGTCGACGCGGGTTATTATCAATCGTCACGCGAACGCACGCGATAATCGATTTCGACTTTGTCCTTCCCTCTCGCGCTTCTCTCCCTCCCCTCCTTACCATCACCCACCCACGGACTCTCTTTCCTTCCGCGCGATATCTGCTCGCGTATCAAAACGTTTCAACTCCGCTTCGACGCGACGGCTATTTCTGACTCGTGACGATTTTTCAAGCGAACGAACGTCAATCGAGGCGCGCACGTAGAAAACGCGCGGACGATGTCTAATATTAGCGCGCGCGCGCGTCTCGGCAATAAATTCCGGCGAATCTGCCCGGTGGGAGAAGTTGCCGCGCTCTCGCCGGTCAATTCGTAATGGAGCGTAATGGAATTCGGGACGCTGGGAGAGAACGCGCAAACAAAGCGAGCGAAGAAACGGACGAATGGCGGGTAAGAGGAGACAGGAAAGCGGAAAGAGGTGCGCGCGGCCGCGAGAGCCGATAATGATTACAGAGTGAATGCGCGTCGGGACGCGCTCGCTCGCGAAGCGCCGACACAGAGGAAGAAAAGCGCAGGAGGAAGACGCTCCGGGGGAATGGCGGGCGGAGGGCCCCGGAGGGAAAGTGCCCCGCGGCCGGCACGGAGCTGGGCCGAGGAGAGGAGAAAATAGAATGGCGAGAGGCGGAATGAGAGGGCGTCGATGGGCGTTTCGCGGTCCCGCGATGATTACAGGCTCGGCGAGCCCGTAATACAAGATATGTACCCCCGTCCACCCCGGCGGTCATTCTTTTTCGCCTTTCTTCCTCGATCGCGACGCGGCATGGTCGTCGGTCTTCGAAACGCGCGACGTCTCCTCGAAGAACGAAGGACGAGCGGAGAAGCGATCGTCGAGCATCGGCCCCGTTGTCATTTCAGCGGTGTCTACGATAGGTGCCGTAAGCTTAAAAGCCGTTAGAAATTGACCAGTCTCTCTCTCTCTCTCTCAGTCGAGTGTGAGAACAATCGATTGTAATTGATCCATTTCTTACGGTTTAAGGGGGAACACTGGATCTTTGAACACGCGAAAGCATCGGTGCGGTGTATCACTTGTAACAAATTATTCGACAAATATCAATGAATTTACGTTTTGGTAACAGTTTTTGTATGTGGTTTTAAGAAAAGAATGAGATAGCCAAAGTTGCAGAAAAGCTTGTTTATTATGAAATATGCAGTGATGGTGAAAAAAAGAGTTCTTTTTTTGGTTTTACCACGATTTCGCAATCCCATCGTCAAATTTGGAAAAGCTGCAAGCGGCATTCTCTTCCTGAATACATTCTTTATCGATTAAACCTCTGAAACACGAGAAATAACATTTATTGAAAAGTTAGCACTCCAAAAAACCACACTGTTTCGAAATCTGTCGTTTTTTTCTTTATTTTTCGAAGTGAATGCAATTTTTGGGGGATAATGCTTAAATTTGGTTTGTAGAAAATCTAATTAGAAGTATTAAAAAAAAAATTTTCAATATTTTTTTCTGTTCTTGAGAAATCGTGGTAAAACTGATGGAAAACATGGTTTTGAGAAAAAATGCGTTCAAAGTTTCGCAATAGATTTTCAGTGTAATAAAATGTGTGACGCGATTCTAAACTGTTCAGGATTATAGCATGTAATGTCCAGAATGTTTTGCAATATTAGATAAATTCTTGTTATCTGTTAACAACAGAAAAATCGATCTTCTTCAACAAAAACTCTCGTATGCATCACTTTGCGCGTAACACGCCTGGTAACAACTTTTTCACCCGAGAATCGGCATTTAAATTATTTAAGATGTTTAAATATCTCTTATACTTGTCATTAAATATTGCTGCATTTAAATATACAACTATTCGCACAATTTCTAACTGAAAAAGAATTTATGTTTAGAAGCAACTTTCGATACTAATGAAACTTTCGTTCGCATTCTATGTAAAGCTTTTAAACATCTGTTAAGAAGTTCGAAATATTCGCAATATAAAATGCTGGTACAGTGAAATTTTTGTTTTACGAAATATATCGAAAAATTTGAACATACGCCTCTTTCATTCGTCAGTTCAGTCAATATCGTAATGTTCAATAATTTTAATTTCAACAAACGGCAAAACACTGCTAAAAGATAGCTCTATAAGAAATCATTAAAATCCAAAAATCGATTTTATGGTTATCTTAAAGGTCCAGTGTTCTCTTAAGATTTAGTATACCTATTGTAGACACCGCTTTATACCCGACTAGAAATTGTCATCAGGTGTATCTGCTATTGCACAGAGTCCTAATTAGGTGATCGCAAAGTACTATGGCAAGCCTAATCGTGTATTGATAAAGATTAAATAAGAACAATCTTTGCAAGGCTTATAACGATTAGGTCATATTATATATTTTTTTTCCATAAAAAAATTGCATTATTAAAGTCGAAAATCTCTTAATTCTAACAGCATTTGTGCTTCTATTTATATTTTGTTGATATTTTTTACTAGTTTAGCATTCCATGCTCTTTATAAATCCTAAATTAATCATAACCTTTTCCATTATCTAACGGTGTCAAAACGGTGATGGAGATAAAATAGTATCATGTGATGAGAACATTGTAATGAATCCTGATTAAAGTGCTGATTAGCATGCACCATTACATGACTTCTCTGGACGATAATATAATCTTAGATGAACCTGGCAGTTAAAGTCAACCTGAGCTGCACCATGGAATAAATTTCTAGTCGGGTATAGGGGTATAAGCTATTTCGCGCGCACTACTCACTTTTTTGCAAGAATTTAACAATTTTCCTTTAGTCATTATTCACAGTGACTTCAATTTTCAACATAACGTAACACCCGAGGTTTAGTTCCCACCCTGTACGACGTCGGATTCGACGAGTCTCCGCGACCCCGCGCGATTACGACGATGGCGTCATCGTCCGTTATCCCCGCGGCGATGAACAGCGCGTCTCGTGTTTCTCGGCGCAAGGAGAGAGAGAGAGAGAGGGAGAGAGAGATTCACGAGAAACATATCTCCGGCAAAAGTCGCGATGAGCCTTCCAATTGACACCTCGGACGCACATCGCCACGTGGCGATCGTAAATGCAGATCCGCCGCGTGTTCGGACGCGCCTGACAACTCACGCGCTCATCAACTCCCCCGAGGATCGCGTGCGCGCACGGATGTCGTCCGTGCGCGTATCGCGTGGCGATCGAGGGAGCGTTAAAGAGGAAGAAGAAGAAGAAGAAGAAGACGGCGAAGAAAAGGGGGAATTACTCCCAATTATGCAAATAGCCCGGCGGAGAAGCGACGTTACCCTCTTTCCCGTCCTGCGCCCTTCTCTCCTCCTATCGCCACTTCACGCCTCTCCTCTCGCGCCCGCGGGCCGTAGTCGGCCGAAAGTATAAATTGCATATACACTCGTGCGCGAAGTACGCTGAAGCGCTCGTTGTACTCTTGACGTGAGCGAGCGAGCGCCCGCGCGCGGCAAGTAGGGTTACACGCGCGTAATGTACGTGTAATACACGAGGCCGCGGTAAAGTACCCACTCGGTTGACGAGTGTGCGTTGTACAAGCCGTACGCGCTTCACATATGTACACGCCCGGCCGGCGAAATATGTACGTCACTTTTACGGAGCGCGTCGAACCGGCAGCTTTCGTTGACTCCGTTGACCCCCGCGGAACCGGAAGACGTCGACCTGACCTCACCGATTCGCCCCCCTCCCGTCTCTGAGGGAGGATCACTCGACAATGAAAAATGATGTATGATAATCCAAGTCGGAGATTTTTCTTTGGATTCGCCTTCGATGGCTCGTGGTGTCACCGCGATGTCAATATCGACGACGCAACATCGTGTCGCGCGCGTTCAGTGGCTTCCCTTTACGCGAATTTTACGAGTCACGGCGCGAAACATCGGCTTGGACAAGCACTCGTGCCACGTTGGAGCTCGCGATCTCGTTGAGATTCTCGGCGGTTTCGAGACTCCCAACGTCAAATAACCGTGGTGCAACAACGTAATAAAACGAAAGGGAGGGAAATAGAACAAATAAAGAAACGGCGTTACTCACGTGTCTCTCCTCCGTCAGGCTCATACCTGCAAGCAAACAACAAACGTCGCGGTATAGCGCAAAACGCTCGCTCTGCAAGCGGAGCCAAAGTGGCGTTCGAGCACCGAGATCGCTTCTTTATCTTTATATACGAGTGCCATAATAGCGAGAAGCGCCGGCGATCCGGCGTATTATACAGATGTCTGCGACGAGATAAGCGGTAAGATTGAGCAATCCGCCTTTGGTGACTCTATTTGAGAGCCGTCCCCGTTCCCCTCAGCAATACCGGTCGCGCGTTTCTCCCGCTTTTGTAGGAAACTTATTCAAACACGAATATGTGTTCCACGCGTGTGCACACTCCCCCATCCGAGCGGTAGTAAGTTACGAAGGAGCCGCACGTAGGTAGGTAGGTAGAAATAATATCAGACGCGCGATCCAGAGAGAACGTCGAGTATCGCGCGCATCGATAAAATGTTAATAACGCGCCGTAAAACGGCGGCCGACAGTGGCTATCGAAACGGGCAGAGGGGGATGGAGCGTGTTGCGAAGGGCGGGAGAGCGCGGGGGCGGAGGACAGAGAAAGAGATAGAGAGAACGAGGGGAGGGCTCGCGAGTGGCGTCCATATAAATGATCTTCATGCATATTTATGCGCGCTTTTCGCTCAAAACCGCCGCTAGCGCGTCCGCTAACAGGGTGACGCAAACATGCGCACTCTCCCCCCCCCCCC